TATATATATATATATATATATATATATATATATATATATAAGCTAGGACACAATTGTCCGGGGAACACTGCGGCACAAAAACAAAATGAAAGTGGTAAATATTCAAACGTAGGGAATTACCGATCTGTTAGGTGAGATCCAGTTGCATGTGATCCATCTTTGGTTTACGATATTATGGATCGTGTGAGCGCCACGTACTGAACAAATGCTATAAAACTAGGTATACCAATTGTTTTGTCAGGTTCAACTGAAGCTACCATATAGTCAGGTTTTTTAATTACCCTCGGGTCAGGAATGTGATCCAGTAAGTGGTGGAGCTACAAGTGATCGCCTGTTTTTAAACAAATCTGTCCTCCTGGTGGCGGTCCGCATCTTAAGGCACTGACATTCTAAGATATCAACGTGTTGAATTAGGCCTTCGCAGCTACCCTTTCTCTGAAGCTAAAAGTTGCGCAGCCTACGTCCTAATAGTTGCTGCTGTGAACGTGAATCAGGTCAACCTATGCCATGGAGATATTGAGGCCGTCAGGGCCTAAATGAGCACAAATGTGGTCCCAGCGTGCGAAATCTGCAGAGGAACCTGAGTGGTTCGATTCAAACTCACACAGTTTTGAAGTTAGAGAATTCGAACTGGACAACTCAGATGACAATAAAACAGACAGTACGGATATTCTATGACGGTTAGTTTTATGGTAACTTTCGCAAAATCTACTTCAAATGTACGGTTCACCGTTTGTGCTATTTGTAGGGTAATTTGAGGACCGCACACTGTGCATAAATAACCAAAACTACTCTCATGTATCTTTTGTATACTGTATGTTCGTGTTTACTAATCAGGTGAATGCTAGATTTATCATTTTTGCAGCATATGCAGCTTTTTGCGATTTGAAATCCTAAACTAGCTTTCTAATAGGATATTTTGTCAATTACGTAGGTGTGATACAGTCCAGTAGGTGCGACAGGCGTGACATCTCCGCTGCCTACGTCATACAACATTCACCACTTTCATGATCAGGACTACATAGTAGCCAGTTTTACTAGACTGATGTTGCCAAAGATATATAGTAAGAAGATGCATTCAGAGAAAATCTAACAACACCCTCACTTTTGCTTGAATGTTAAGATTCTTTTTCACAAGGACGTGTTTTTCAGCGTTTTTCTCATGAGTCTTCAAAAATAAGACAGCAATTGGTGAACTGTTGGCGTAAACTCCTTCACAGAATAATGCTTCGAAGAGTTTTGTGCACAAAAAGTCGAAGACAAATCAAAGATTACACTGAGACCATTCGTATGCGGTGTCCTCAGATAGTGATAGCGTCACAAGCAGCGTATATTATATACAAATACCCCGTTAAGGTATAGTAAAACAGCCGTATCGTTGCTTCACGTTTAGTCAGACAATTGCCGCTTTATTGTCATTACTTTTGACTTTTGTTTCTTTAACAGTTATGGACAAGACTATTGGCTGATCAGCCTAATACCTGGGCGATTGCGTTCATGAATCCCATCAGCGGTGGTGGTCCAAAGGCAATTTCGGTTTCCCTGAAGGAGATGCAGCTTGAATCACCACCTCCTGAGCCCGTATTCTTCGATCTAATCGACGTATTTGATGGCGAAGTGTTTACATCCGTACAGCTAAATGAGAAATTTACAGTGCGTGTTAATCCCACGGGAATTGTTATGTTCAAGGTGGAAGTGCACAAGCCCGCATACATTGCTCACATACTTCTGCATTACTTGGGCCTGAGAAATGTTTCAGTGAGTATCATATGATTGTACACACTGACTATGACTAACTATACTTTCAGTCCCATTCTTGTTCACACCGGTCTCGAACCTACTCATTCCTAAAATCTTTAGCCTGAAAGTGCAACTGCGACTTCGTTCAAATTGACTTGTAATTCCCTCCAAAACGTCTAATTTATTTCACTCTGTCACACAGTGTCCTATTTGGGTTGTTTTTCTTCCTTTTGTCTCTGTAAGGAAGTAATACATCTCTCCAGTGATACTGTGTGTACGCGACCGGCACGTTCGCCCATGATTATCTCATAAATGGTTTGCTATCAAAGTTACCAGGAAGACACAATTCATCACCGTTATCATCAATTCATCAATTGTTATCAGTTCATCATGACCGTTATTTTCCGTACAGCTAAGTTCCATACTGTGGATTTGTTAGTCCATGCTGAGAGTAACAAAATTTCAGAAAGACTGTGAAGTAACTTACTTTTTATCATATGATCAAATTGAGAATAGGTTTGCTGGAGTAACGTTTATGATCATGCTCATATATTTTTTCGAGTAGAATATTTGAAGCGGCCCTGTGGCTTTGAGTTTTGACCGATTCAGTTGCACACGCACCCACAAAAATGTGTGCCAAGCCCTGTTTTCGGAAAAGGCTGGGAAAAAATCGGTAGATGGGCAACGTTTCACTTTTGATACAAAAGCTTTGTCAGGCGAATCTTTTCCAAAAACGATTACTTCGCAATCTGTCCTAAGCGTTTTCCAAATGACTGGACATGCCTAATGACCTTATGTTCGAAATATATCAAGTGAGTACATTCTGATGGTGGGACTAGAGGTCGGGCAAACCAGAATGACCATCGCATGTTTAACATACGATGCTTAAAGCACAATATTATTCCCTCATCTCTGGTTGCTAAGCCACCGTATACGTCTGTCGCTTCTGCCAGAATAGCTTTTTCGGCGGCCGAGCCACCCTTTAGGTAGAGGATTTACATAACCACTCAGACTGATCGATGTACGCAGCCACACCATTCGGCTCAGCCACGATCTTCTGGCCGCAATCTTATTGGCTGACTACCAGCTGCTCTAAGCCAAAGCCACCTATGTGACACTTGTGCCGAACCAGTAGTGCGAGAACAGACAAATACGCAAGCAAGAATAACTGGTTTCCATGACTGAGTGCTATAGTAAGGTCACAGAAAAAATGAAACCAGCCACCAGTTACCGTAGTCCAGTTAACTTGTCGGACAGAACATTCATGAAGGACGACCCTGGTCTGTCAGACAAGTTACTAAACTTGTTTTGAGCAGAAAAATAATGAGGGCGGAGTAAACAATTCTCGGTATTTCAAATAATATTTGTTTAGCGGAAGCTGAAAATTTACTGGTACAATTAGTTCTGGCCCTGAAATTTTGGCAATCGGGAGCTCCGAATATTGCGCCGTCGGAGTGTTGAACACACTGAGACAGGTGGACAGTATTGTCTTTTCGAAGTCAAATAAACGCGAAGCCGCAGTAGTAATGGACAAGGTTGACCGTCTTCAAAGGCTCAAGCAGAATCTCACCGATGAGCCCCACAGACAAATTGCAAACAGCACTTCAATAATGATTAAGAGTTAGGTTGAAGTTGGTGGATATTTAAGACCCATGATAAACCATTTAAGCAAGACAAGTGGTGCGGTTGTACCCAAAAAGTACGATTCAATCACAACTCTGCAGACTGCCAAAAACTCACAAGGCTGGTGTTTCGATAAGACCAGTAGTAGATGGTATAGGCTCACCACCACATTAGCTAGCCAGATTATCAGCTGACACCTCATAACCACTTACGGCGAAATCAAGCACCTTCAATAGAAGTTCGTACGAATATGCTAACAATGTAGCACGATTCCCTTTGGTGATGGGCGAAGTCCTCTTGAGTTTGGACGTCATCTCAGTGTGCATAAACATCCCCAAGGCGGTGCTGCGCAACTGAGCACTCACGTTCTAATGACCTTGTTACACATTCGCTAACACCAACCCACACGAGCTATGGTCGTGTGCTGAAGAAATTTCACTTTCGTTGTTCAAAGAGGACACGTCTCAGATCCGTACAACAAACCAGCCAGTGATGTAGCGAGATAAACACGTCCCTTTAGATTCATACCGCTTTGACGCCATAAGTGTCTCAAATCAACAAACGCGGTCCAATCCTTGCAAACCACTACAATCATCTCATCATTCACACTGCAATCAGGACTAACACAACTTCCAAGACAGTAAACTACTCCACAACTCTGAATGTCCTCCGTGTACTGTAGGTAGTGTGTTCAGTGTCTACATGTTCAGACGCATAACCTCGAAGCGCACACCAACGGAAGGGATGACTTTGATCCGTTCATTCAAAAACGCCTGCATCCTGTTCTCTTCTTCGTGCAATATCGTCTATATAATCCAGATCGAACGGGGTTTCATCAAAATCTATTTAAAAACCAGGACTTTGAAGACCTTACAGCGTTCGTCTCCTTATCCTGTCGATCAAGAAATTAAATAAGAATGACCAGAGTTGGCACCCCTGACGGACACCACTGCATGTACGGAAGCTTTCGGAGAGTTCTCCATATGCTCTCACGCCTGGAAGTCTGAAAATACATAGAACTTATTATGTTCACAAACCTCTGAGGCATTTATTGATGGGTTAGCGTGTCAAGCAGATCACGACGGTCAACCGAGTCGAATGCGTCTTGGAAATCCGGGACTACTAAAAATGTGGTCGTTTGTACGTACAGCGTTTTTCTAGCACCTGGCAGAATGTGGAGACTTGGTCAACTTCTAACGAGCAGGAAGCTTGCTTGTTGCTCTCGAATCAGTGCATCACAGGTCACAGACGACGAAGCAAAAGTGATTCCAGCAACTTCGTTACGACTTGAGTCAGGCTGAGCCCCAATCGACTGCCAAACTCACCACGGGCTTTTTTTTCAAAAATGAGCGTTATCATCGCTTCTTCCCAGTTTTCTGCTACAGGCTCCTTTTCCCAGATGCAAGCAACTAAATCAGACACGCGCTGACTGAGGTCCACCTTGTAACAATGTGGGTGGGAGGTCATCCAGATCAGGATCCCGATGGCGTTTGAAAGGACGTATGCAGTCACAAATCTCCGAGACTGTACAGGCTTCCATGTCCAGGATCCAGCTGAATGACAGTAGGTGGATACGAGAATTGTTGTTGTTTAAAGTGCTTGGCCCAGAGTTCGAAGTGCTCCACATAGTCACACCATTTTGACCCTTAATGGTACCGCCTCACAGGCGGTATCTGAGGCCCGATCTCACGATCAGCTGTATTAATCTTCGGGCATTGCTGGCTCTCTGGGCCTGTTCCACTTGTTTAAACTTTCACGTCCACCAGGTTTCACGGTCGGCGTGCACGCCCACATTCACCTAACATTTGATAATTCCTCAGATCAAATTATTTTCCGGGCCGGCGGAACATTCCCCTGAGATTTAAGCAGTGCACCGATCCCAACCCAATCCAAGCACCCAGTTTAATCTCAGATGCACCAAATCCTCCTGTTCGCACACTCAGGTTTTTGACAACCACAACAGCACCTGAGCTTCTAGCTCGCCGGCACAGGGTATTCACGGTGTCATAAAATTTGTCTTCGATTGTGTCAGAGCTGCAGTTGGCTGGGGCTTAAGGGATGCGACAAAGAAACAACGATTAACTTTCTGCTTATGCGAGTGTTTCACAGAAAAATAGCACAATTCGACTATTAGTGGGTACCCACTCAAACATGATTACTTCCGCTCAGCGACGTAGGGTGGTGCTAACCCCTGAATCTCTCGCCTTTTGAGCTACTGGATCGGCGGGGTCGCATAGTCAGAAGCGAGTGGAGAGTGATGGGGCAGCTAGCTCGACCAGTGTGATTGCCTTTTGAATTCCCGTTTTTTAGTGGAGTCCGGTATGACTGCAATAGCATCTTGTTTTCCTGCCTGCTTCAGAACGTGAATATTAAAAGCAGTCAGACAGACTGGGTATGAAAGCTTCAAGATTAACTTTGAGATATCTGAGGTTATCAGCAACGTTGAAACGCTCAGGTCAACCCTGACAAACGGACTCGTCAGTCCCAACGGATGAGCCTGAAAGGAGAAATTTAATAATGGGTTGGGGGAATGGGAAGAAAAAGTATGTCAAAGAAAAAAAGGGGGAATCGGCAATAGCTTGTTTTGGTTTAACCGCCCTGCTGTATGCAGCAAGTAGGGCTACCTGGCTGATTATATCATGCAATGGCCGATGTGGCACGATAGTATCGTGAGCTGCATGTATCGTTGTTGTTCTTGGGTTGGGATACTGCCATAGTGCCAAGACCTAAATGGAAGGACAATAAGGGTTCTCATCCAAAAGCTTTGGCTCAAAATCCTGATTGCAAGACAGAAGTAGTTGGCGAGAAATACCAGTAGGTTGCCATTTTTAAGGAACAAGTCGCCACACATGCTCCAACCCACAGCGTGTATGACCAGGAGACTGTGTTCATCAAAGGTCTAACAAATGATCAACCTAGCATGAGAGACTCGGCAAGTCTCTCACGGACGCGCCCCGGTATAGCCCGATGGGTCTCGGAGACACCAACACCATCACACTAGGATTAGGTCTCTTCTGTTGAAAACTCTTCACAAATAGTCACACACCGTCGCATGTCAGCTCCACTGACCTAGAAGTTTTCTCCACACGCCCTCCAGTCCTTGGCCTTCCATTCTGTTCGAACTGAGGTGCTTGGCAGTTTCCACCACCTGTGCCACCATTCGTTGTAGCGTGAATCATAATCCCTGTCTCAGTATTTCAGTATCTTCTAGAAACAGTTTGTGTCTCGTTTCTAGGACATCTCCCACTTAACACAGCAGCTGCGTTCGATTTTGTAAACACAAACCCTAGTTCTGTTATCCTTCAAAAAACTTGGCGAAGAATGCGGAGTTTTCCTGTTTAAGACCCTTTGAGTGGCCTCGGATAGCCTTGGTTTCCACGCAGTAACAGCAATCCCCATATCTTCCTCACCTGATTTCGCCATAGCAACCAGTACCCTGCTTTCGTAGGGTAAATCGGCTTCGTAATGTCACCTTCAAATCGAGTCTTATCTTGGCGACAGATAATCGATCCTGTGGCATCCACCTGATGAGTCCTGGTCAGAACTAACTATTTTCTGCCCTACTAATCTAAGCAGTGGATTGGCGGTGTTTCCCATTTTCTTTTTCCGTATCTCACGTCTGCCATGAAATCTACTCAATGCACTGAAATAATATCCGCAGACTAGAGATGCTAATCTTCACTCTTTTCGTTGACGGCATAATAGTAAAATGCACAGATACCAACATCCCTAGCATCGTTGGGTTTACAAGTTTCATCACCTACAGTTTTGGACTAGGATGCATTGCACAACCTACATTAGCAGCAGCGAACCCTTGTGCTCTAAACTCAAGCGCTTTAACTGATTACCACTTGGGTCTTCCAAACATTTCATAACTAGGTTGCGGAGCATAAAATAAGCACAACATAACGTGTATAAAGCTTTTTTCATGCAATAGTAGACGAACAAGGGAAATTTGGCGAATATGCCTGCTCAATGAGTTCGAACAAGGGAGAAACCAGGTGACGCCTTCCAAAGTTTTCAGCGATCTTACGACTGAGAATGTCCGTCAAGAAATTTTACCAATTTTTAAAATGCATTTTTAACTGCGTGACAG